CCTACCACTTCGCGGCTGAGCCGTTGTTGCTCCTAGACGCTTCCACTTCACAATAACAGCACTTACAGTTGACCCGGGGCAACTCTAGCAGGGCAGAAATTTGACGAACTGACTTGTTGGAAAGGTGGCATCATATGACGGTGCCACGTTGAATGTCATTGAGCTCTTCAGTAAGGCCATTCTACTGCCATTGTTTGTCTATGGAGATTGCATGGCTGTGTGCTCGATTTTATACACCTGTCAGCAATGGGTATGGCTGAAATAGGGGTTTCCACATACTTTGGTATATATAGTGTACTCCTAACCTGCCAGAAAAGTCATTTATGAGTGGTTCGTTTTTGGAAGCTGCGAGCAGGAAGAGGGTGAGTCACAACTATGTAACCCGTTTGAGAGGAAGATCCGTTACTTGAGAGGAATCATGTAGTAACCAAAAAAGTGTTAAACAAATCGAAATATATTTTAGATTCTTCAAAGTAGCCACCCTTTGCCTTGATGACAGCTTTGCACACTCTTGGCATTCTCTCAACCAGCTTCACCTGGAATGCTTTTCCAACAGTCTTGAAGGAGTTCCCACATATGCTGAGCACTTGTTGGCTGCTTTTCCTTCACTCTGTGGTCAAACTCATCCCAAACCATGTCAATTGGGTTGAGGTCGGGTGATTGTGGAGGCCAGGTCATCTGATGCAGCACTCCATCACTCTTCTTCTTGGTCAAATAGCCCTTACAAAGCCTGGAGGTGTGTTGGGTCATTGTCCTGTTGAAAAACAAATGATAGTCCCACTAAGCCCAAACCAGATGGGATGGCGTATCGCTACAGAATTCTGTGGTAGCCATGCTGGTTAAGTGTGCATTGAATTCTAAATAAATCACAGACAGTGTCACCAGCAAAGCACCCCCACACCTTCACACCTCCTCCTCCATGCTTCACGATGGGAACCACATATGCGGAGATCATCTGTTCACCTACTCTGCGTCTCACAAAGACACAGCGGTTGGAAACAAAAATCTCCAATTTGGACTCATCAGACCGAAGGACAGATTTCCACCGGTCTAATGTCCATTGCTCATGTTTCTTGGCCCAAGCAAGTCTCTTCTTATTATTGGTGTCCTTTAGTAATGGTTTCTTTGCAGCAATTCGACCATGAAGGCCTGATTCACACAGTCTCCTCTGAACAGTTGATGTTGAGATGTATCTGTTACTTGAACTCTGTGAAGCATTTATTTGGGCTGCAATCTGAGGTGCAGTTAATTCTAACTTATTATCTGCAGCAGAGGTAACTCTGGGTCTTCCTTTCCTGTGGTGGTCCTCATGAGAGCCAGTTTTATCATAGTGCTTGATGGTTTTTGTGACTGCACTTTTAGAAACTTTCAAAATTCTTGACATTTTCCATATTGACTGACCTTCATGTCTTAAAGTAATGATGGACTGTCGTTTCTCTTTGCTTATTTGAGCTGTTCTTTCCATAATATGGACTTGGTCTTTTAGCAAATAGGGCTATCTTCTGTATACCACCCCTACCTAAAATGCATTAAGGAAAGAAATTCCACAAATTAACTTTTAACAAGGCACACCTGTTAATTGAAATGCATTCCTTATGAAGCTGGTTGAGAGAATTCCAAGAGTGTGCAAAGCTGTCATCAAGACAAATGGTGTCTACTCTGAAGAGTCTAAAATATTAAATATATTTTGATTTGTTTAACGCTTTTTTGGTTACTACATGATTCCATATGTGTTATTTCATAGTTTTGATGTCTTCACTATTATTCTACAATGTAGAAAATAATAAAAAATAAAGAAAAACCCTTGAATGAGTAGGTGTGTCCAAACTTTTGACTGGTACTGTATATATATATATATTTTTACATTAACATATACATTTGGGCTTTGGATAAATAAAAACAATTCTCCCAAATGCTCTGTGTGACCACCTACCAATGTGGCTGGTAAAAATAGCCAACAACAAATCCAACTTTGATGTAACGTCCTTAAAACAAGTCAAAATGAGGCTCAGTAGTGTGTGTGGCCTCCACGTGCCTGTATGACCTCCCTACAACGCCTGGGCATGCTCCTGATGAGGTGGCGGATGGTCTCCTGAGGGATCTCCTCCCAGACCTGGACTAAAGCATCCGCCAACTCCTGGACGGTCTGTGGTGCAACGTGGCGTTAGTGGATGGAGCGAGACATGATGTCCCAGATGTGCTCAATTGGATTCAGGTCTGGGGAACGGGCAGGCCAGTCCATAGCATCAATGCCTTCCTCTTGCAGGAACTGCTGACACACTCCAGCCACATGAGGTCTAGCATTGTCTTGCATTAGGAGGAACACAGGGCCAACCGCACCAGCATATTGTCTCACAAGGGGTCTGAGGATCTCATCTCGGTACCTAATGGCAGTCAGGCTACCTCTGGCGAGCACATGGAGGGCTGTGCGGCCCCCCAAAGAAATGCCAACCCACACCATGACTGACCCACCACCAAACCGGTCATGCTGGAGGATGTTGCAGGCAGCAGAACGTTCTCCACGGCGTCTCCAGACTCTGTCACATGTGCTCAGTGTGAACCTGCTTTCATCTGTGAAGAGCACAGGGCGCCAGTGGCGAATTTGCCAATGTTGGTGTTCTCTGGCAAATGCCAAACGTCCTGCACGGTGTTGGGCTGTAAGCACAACCCCCACCTGTGGACGTCGGGCCCTCATACCACACACACACACACACACACACACACACACACACACATACATATATACATATATACATATATACATATATACATATATACATATATACATATATACATATATACATATATACATATATACATATATACATATATACATATATACATATATACATACATACATACATATATATATATATATATATATATATATATATATATATACACACACACACACAGCGCCCCCTATCAGTCATCCAGTGTATATATATAAATCATTGGTTCCAGCTAGTCTCTCGAGCGAGACTGCTTACTTCCGCAATTGTTGAGGTCTGGCTCCAGCCACCTGGTGATGTTGGAAGTGGTGGCTTATCCATCCCCATCTTCAATTATCAAATCAACAACACTAAAAGAGAGTTTGTTCAGACTGCAGTTCAAAATTGGATGGTGGAATTTATTTGACATTCAGTTTTGTAAAATAAAGGCGACACCAGGCAGATTTCACACCAAACAATACAGAAAGTTGACTGGAATTCAGCAGAGCATGTCGTTCTTTTCGTATATAAAAAAAAGAAAAGACAAAAACGATCGAAACAGAATTAAATTGAAGGGCTTCTCCAACACAAAGAAACAAAATCCCAAACAGGAATGCATTTCAAATGCTAAAAGACGTCCTCTTCAAAATGTCAATGTCATGATGTATGTAAAATACTATTCACAATTTTCCGTCAAGAAACTGTGCTATAGCCACCAACTCGCTACAAATCATTTAAATGGAGCATTTACAAGTTTGATCATACATAATCACATGTATTCATTCTCAAAACTGTAACAAATGCCCCTAAAATACTGTTGAAGGTAAATTCAGTGCTGACACCTCTCAATCTGTGATCTTCAACCCTTCACACTTACACCTATAGAGGGCACTGAAGTGTTCACACAAGCCTCAGATCACTTCATATTGGGTGGTGCAGCTTTAACACTATGGCAGGCATATCAAAAGTCCTTTTCATATAATATATGAACGGTTATATACACACATTTATATAAGGTTTTTCCTCGTACAAACCAAAAATATTTGGTACCTGACAAAAACTACTTAAAATGACATTAGTGCAAATGTCATAACACGTCGGCTACATTTCATGAAAATAAAGTTCCTACAGCTACCAGATGGTGACAGCGTGCAAGCCTAAGCGTGCGTATAAAGCTTCTACATCAAGTGCTATGTCTGTTCTCTTCAGTATATGAATATCAAATCACACATCCGGTGAGTGTTTATGTCTCCGACATACACAACACCTTGCCCACCCTGTTCCCTGACTTGGTAAGGTTGTTGTGTAACAGATCATCAGGCAGAGCAAGGTGAGGGAGGGTAGGCAAGGCCCAACCAGGGTAGGCAAGGCCCAACCAGGGTAGGCAAGGCCCAACCAGGGTAGGCAAGGCCCAACCAGGGTAGGCAAGGCCCAACCAGGGTAGGAAGGTGGGAAGGAGGGAAAAACTTGGAGTGGTAAAATAGTGAGCCAACGTTAGTGACCTAAAGAGGGGAAAAGGTGAGTGAAATATAGCCCAATTGGACTATATTGTGAAGTTGAATGAGAGTTAATGAAACTTCTAATATTATATTGTGGCTGTGTTTGTCTTACGCTAAATAGATGTACAGTATAATGACAGTCATCTGTCAAATAGCTGCATTTTGTTGTTAATCTAACTCAGTGGCCTTGTGGTTAGTGTCCGTCCTGAGATTGGAAGGTTGTGAGTTCGATCCCCGGCCGAGTCATACACTAAACACTAGAAATGGGACCCCAATGAGTCTCTGCTTGGCACTCAGCGTTTAAGAGATAGATTGGGGGTAAAGCCCTGCGATAGACTAGCGTCCTGTCCAGGGGGGTGTACTTGTACATCAACCTGCCTCACGCTACAGAAACAGGAGATAGGCTCCTGCTCCTATGAGCCGTTCCGGGTAGCACAAGCCAAGGCTCGTGCAAGTCTACTTACTTATTTTGATGCTAAGTGAGGTTTAGTATGGCATCACTCAAGTCTGCATCAGATTTCATATATGAAATCCTATTGGATTAATAACCATGAAATGTACTTGAATGAAATTAATTAACAATGAAATGTTAATGAATGACGTTTAAGACCAAACGTAAGCAGCAGGCAACAAATAGATGAGAGTTCGTTAAGGGGGAGGTGTTGGATAGTGGCATTAGGGAAAGTCCAACCGTTAACCAGCAACCTCTATCATGGTGAAGTCATACATATCAGCCACTTGAGGATGAATAGTCTTTAGCTGTGTGTGAGGTGGTGTGCATGAGCGAGGCTCAGAGGCAGCAGGGGCTGGCAGACTGTTGTAGTTCTGACTGGAGTTGTGACTGGAGTTCAGCTGCACATGCTGTGGATGATGTTGCTTCAGGGGAGGCGGCAGACTGCTGGGGCTGGCGATGCCTGAGATATGACTCCCCTGAGCCCTGTGACGGACCTGCCACCTGGCCATCCAAATACACCCTGTCCACTGTGTCAGTCTGCTGGGGGCATGGGGCCCTCTCCTCTGCCTGGCCCTCAGGATCTGGGTCAGGGTTAGCAGGGGAGGAAGAAGGGCTGGCTTGGCTCCCTTCAACAGGAGCACCGTTCTGAATCACTGGTTTGTTCCCTTCAGCCGCACTGGCCACTGGCTCTCCTTGCCCAGCCTCTGCTGGGTTGGGATTGGCTGGTAGAATGTCCTGGGCGGGTGCAGCGGTGGCATTGGCGGGCTGTGATTGGCTCTTCAGCTGTTTGTGGCAGAGGGGGCAGGTCTCCTGTACATAGAGCCACTTCTTGAGGCAGCCAGCATGGAAGAAGTGACTGCAGGGGGTGATGACGGCAGACTTCATGTCCTAGGAGGAGAGACAGCATACTGGTTAACTACTGAAGGACTATGGACAACCACAGAAGAGCCCGCTACAATGCCTGATGATGCGTTTCTGATGAGTGGAAGTATATCACAGTTACACATCCTTATTCAAACTAAACTATCATTTCTCTTTTGAAATGTTTACGCAGAACTAGTGTTGCAAAATTACAGTAGCTTTCCCAAAATTCCCAGGTTTTCCCCAAAAAATGGTTGGAGGTTCCCGGAATCAGCAGGGAATAAGCAGGAAATCTGGAATACCCAATCAGGATTTCCGAAAACCTGGGAATGTAGAGAAAGTTACCAGAATTTTACAACCCTAGGCAGAACCCATTTCATATCCGCATTGTCCCCTTCATACAAGCAGAGGGCTATAAAACAAATGTATCAAACCAATAATGTCGGCCTCTCAAACAGCATGCACACACTCACACTGGACACACACACACTGGACACACACACACACACACACACTCCGTCACCTGGTAGCAGATGGCACAGATGTCATTGTACTGCTCCAGTTGCAGGTCGGAAGCAGTGGGCAGGCTCTTGATCTTGTTGACGGCGTCTCTGCGCAGCAGGAAGCTCTGCCAGCCCAGCTGGGCGCGCAGCCACACGTTGTAGTAGGAGTGGATGAAGATGATGGTGGAGCCCATCACCGTCCACTCCCCGAACACCGTCTCCGACACGCCGTAGGCCACCACCACCAGCGCCACCAGGAACTCCAGCAGCCGGTAGGTCCCGTTCACGTAGTAGATGACGTCGTCCATGTTCTCCACGGGCTCCTTACGGAACTCCTCCACCATAAAGATGATGTAGATGAGCAGGGTCCCCAGCACCTAGGGGAGAGGGACATTGAGTGTGGGTGCTTTGTTTCACTTGTTTTGACACTAAAGGTCCCTCTCATGTTGGGGCAAGCGGTTGAGGGTCAAGGGTTAGGACCACAGGTAATCACAGGTCACAGGTAATAAATAGAACAAAAGAAGTAAGGTCTGCACCCTTCCTTTTCTCTATTACAGATAGTCAACGCACCAGAATCTTAGAATCTTCTAAAGGTCAACGCACCAGAATCTTCTAAAGGTCAACGCACCAGAATCTTCTAAAGGTCAACGCACCAGAATCTTCTAAAGGTCAACACTCCAGAATCTTCTAAAGGTCAACGCACCAGAAGCACATTTGTACAAAATAATGTTGCAGGAATGCTGATCTTATCAGTTTCTACTACAGAAACCATTTCAGAACAATCTGAGATGGTGGGTGTCATGGCTTGCTGAAATGACATGGACAACCTACTTGGACTGCACAGGGTTTTCCATATTTCACAGGGAATATATATACTCACAGGTGGCCAGGGAATAGCAGGCACAGATATGGGAGCTTACAGTCCTTACCATGCCCGTCACATCACCATCACCACCATGGACCTATGCAATATATCTCAGCACAAACGGTAAAGCCATCTGCCTTATATATGAAACATTGTTGACGTGTTCTTATGTCATTACTGCAAATAAATGGGTCAAAGGATCCTGTGCACCTGTGGCTAAAAGCAACTTTTGAATTGGATAGACTACAGTGTGTGGTGTGTGTGTGTGTCCATGGCGACAGAGCTTGAGGTGTGTGTACCTGCAGTGAGGTGAGGATGCTGGAGGAGATGATGATGAGCAGCCAGAAGTCCATGTGGAAGAACTGGCAGATCATGTAGGCCATGTAGGCTGGGAAGACCAGCAGGAACAGGCACAGGCTCACGGCCCGGAAGTGCTTCCACAGGCTCCTGAACAGAGCAACAACCGACAGAGCTTTTACTAGGACAACACCTCTGAGTGGCGTAATAAAGTTGGGTTGAATTTAATCATATAGTTGGGGCATTTTGAACGGACTTCCATGTGAAGTGAGGCCTTTTAAAATTATGCTGCGGATCATTTCATTCTCTCTGTGGATGACACTATTGGCCCTGGTAGACTTGGGAGAAATACCGTATACCAGGGTATTTCAAAATACATACGGAATCATTTTCAATACCGTTTCATTTTCAATACCCTCGCGGGGGCTGCGGGAGGTGCGTGTTGCGCCACTGCTTATAAGTTATAAGAAATCAATTATATCCAGGTCAGGGCTTCAGCTATGCATTTGGTTTGCTAACTTGCTAGCTGAGTGGCTAGATGTCAAGATCAAGCTTCTTGGTTACAGCAGATACATTCGATCCCCTCCTGGATCAAGATCCCTGTTGCTTAAATTGTTTTGTGCTTATTTTTGTAAAATATACTGTATAAATTAAAGAAATAGTAATAGCGCCCTGTGTGCATATTTGGTAATATCGTATACCCCGGTATGGTACAGAAACAAAATTACGTTATGAAAATCTGGATACCGTCCAAGCCTAGGCCCTGATCAAAAAAGCAGTGAGACATTTCCAACAGCCTTGAATGTCTTACTTGTCCCGTGAGGCCCCCAGAGCCAGCACGATGGGGTCAGCTATCTCCAGCATGGACTGTAGGATGGAGGCCACCACGATGAAGAGGATGATGCTGAGTAGGAAGGCTCGATGGATGACCTGCAGCTCAATCAAACCCGTCTGCACAGCCAGGATCAATAGCGTGATGCCCTCCGTCATTCCCCTGAGATGGAGTGAGAAAAAAGAGAGAGATTCATAAATAATGTGGCGTTTTCAGTCAGAAAGGAAAAAAAGGTTCCTCATTGTTCAACCTATGGGTCAAATAACACACTTAACGGGCAAAAACACAGAAGATAAAATGGGCGGAATGAGAATGCAGCTGACTGACCGATGCATGGTGTTGTCATTCATGAAGGCCCGGTAGCCCTGCAGGTAGAACTTGCAGAGGGTGAGGACGCCCAGCGCCACAAAGGACACAGTGAAGACCAGGCCCAGCAGGGAGTAGGGAGTGCTGCAGCACTCTGCAATACTGAGGGGACAGGGAGAGAAGGGGTCAGTAAGAACACTCACTAAACCAATTCAGAGTTCATGCATGTATTTGTAATAGATCACATTCTCTTTAATGACGACAAACAGACAGACGTAATAAGGACTGAAATTGTAGAACTTCAGATTAAATAATGTTGTGCAAAACAGGTCGACTTGGGTTTCTAGTGTTCTAGGAAGCAGTGCCCTGTCCCACCTGGTGAGGAAGAGGAAGAGTAACCTCTCTCTGGAGGTGGGCTGGTCGCGGCTGCTGAAGTAGGTGTAGATCTGCAGGGCAAACAGCACCAGCCAGAAGCACATGAAGAGGACAGGCAGAACCAGCTGGTTCCACAGGGACATCCCCAGAGCCAGCAGCCCATACACCTCCACCACCTGGGCACAGGACAGGGAAGAGAGGATATCACAGATATTGTTCGCTATGAGAAATAAAAACAGAGACAGCAGCAAACTGCTAGATTGACAGTCTTCTGTGTGAAAGAAAACAGTGACAATCAGGCAGTAGAGTAGTCATTGAATCTTCTCCAGTTTGAGAGCCAGCCAACACTAAGCTGGCTTCTATATAATTTAGCGCCAAGCAGACCATTTTACCTGCACCAGCTCCCTGTAGGCGGTCTTGGCCAGGTTGTAGGGCACCAGCAGGTTGGAGGCCAGGAAGTAGATGACCTCGAGGCCCGTGAATATCATGGCGAAGCGGTTAATGAACACGATGGTGTCCAGGGGGACCAGGCAGAGGCGCGCCACCAGGGGGAGCAGGTGAGCAGAGAACAGCCAGATCCTCTTGGTCTGCATAACGCATGAGCACAGGGTGCACACCACCAGCTGACCTGGAGATAGAGGGGCAGGGACACAGGAGGGACGGGGTTAATCCACACAGGCTGCAGGAGAACGCCCACCATACACACCCTTTATAGGAACACACACTGTATATGAACTGTGTAGTAACACGGAACAGCTGAATCTTAAGAGCAAGTGTTCAAGATCTGACTACGAAAACGTATTCATAAATGCACTGACGATTTTGCAAGTCAAAATGTGCAACGCCCTCGAGGACAAAGGGCAAAAAATGCACCTCAAGAGTTCATTGAGGCCGGAGCACGTGGATCTTTACTGCTACATGCCCCAAGTTGACTCTGATGACAATGCTAGCATGTGACTGCACTAGAAAGCTCAGAAACTCATCATCACATGAGAGAGAATAGACAGATGGAATGAGACATAGGGAAGCCATGGTGTCAGATCCAGTCTGTCTCCAGGAGCTGATGTGATATCCCCGAGGCTGGTGATGACAGCACAGAGTGGCAGCATGTTCCATAACACACTAGTGACTAGGCCAAGAGGTCCCTGCCTAATGCTCTCCTGTGTTAGTGGAAAACATTAACCCTCAGAGCGTGCGTGAAGACTCTAGTGTCCCTACCAAAGCAGCTGTACAGTACAGCAGTCAGAACTCAGGGCTGAATGTGCATCGTAGCCTTACACAAACACTTGTGTTTCAGACAGCTTATCCCACTTGTCTTTCAGAGAAATGTAATAACTACTTATGTGACTGAATCTAAAAGGCCAAAGTTCAACGACTGTACCAAGCCAAGTCAGCACACCGTGCTAAAGGGAATCATCAATAGGTCCCTCCCCCTTTGTAAAATGTTAGGGAAAGGGTTAGTTAAAGTGGCACGCCAGTCTCCTTTTCACCTCATTTAACACCTGATTTACTTAACAGAAGACACATCTCAATAGGTGGTCCAGGTAAGTCATGACATTGCACAAGTGAGGGGGGAGGGCCTCTCCTCTTTCGTTCTCTATCGTTCCTCAAGCAAGGGGGGAGGACGATGACATCACGGATTCCCATCAGACCAACTCCTTGAATGCCCTACTCCTTGAAGTTCGCAGTTGTGTCTAAAAATACAATATTGCTCCAACATTTTTTTTTTTACACTTGAGTATGTGTACTTTACTGTATTTATACTTGGGATAATCACTTTAACAGTAAAAGTTCAAAAATCACTGGATGACATCTTTAAGGGTGCTCCTGTAGCAGAGAGTTTAGTAACAGAGAAGGATGAATCTTCTCAGCATCAGAAACAGATCATTATGTAACTGCCAGTCATTTCACAGGCAGGCTTCCTATTAATGATGACACACTGGTTTCTTGCTTCTTCCCCTTTTGGGCTTTCAGCTTTTCACTGACCTCTCAAGCTAACACTATTGTGGCCAACTGTATTTTTAGAAGAGGCAGAACCCACACCTCAGTAACATAAAATCTGACAGACACTAGTCACACTACAGAACACCTGCCAACAACAAGCTTCGCTCTTACGACAAGCAGCACAACAAGAAATATGTCAATGAGTGAGCGATTAAAGGAGAGAAAGACAGAATTCAAAATGGATCAAATGTATTATTTTCTCACCCATCTACACACAATACGCCATAATGACAAAGTGAAAACATGTTTTTAGTCATTTAAGCTAATTTAGTGAAAATGAAATACAGAAATATCTCATTTACATAAGCATAAGTCTTTCCACACCTGGACTGTGCAACATTTGCCCATTCATCTTTTCAAAATTCTTCAAGCTCTGTCAAATTGGTGGTTGATCATTGCTAGACAACCATTTTCAGGTCTTGCCATAGATTTTAAAAGTCAAAACTGTAACTCGGCCAATCAGGAACATTCACTGTCTTCTTGGTAACTCCAGTGTAGATTTGGCCTTGTGTTTTAGGTTATTGTCCTGCTGAAAGGTGACGTTATCTCCCAGTGTCTGGTGGAAAGCAGAACCAGGTTTTCCTCTACGATTTTGCCTGTGCTTAGCTCTATTCCATTTATTTTTTATCCTGAAAAACTCCTTAAAGATTACAAGCATACCCATAACATGATGCAGCCACCACTATGCTTGAAAATATGGAGAGTGGTACTCGGTAATATGTTGTATTGGATTTGCCCCAAACATAACACTTGCAGTATTACTTTAGTGCCTTGCTGCAAACAGGATGCATGTTTTGAAATATTTTAATTCTATACAGGCTTCCTTCTTTTCACTATCAATTCACTCATGTTTAGAATTCCCTGAGCGTTTTCCTTCCTCTCCGGCAACTGAGTTAGGAAGGACGCCTGTATCTTTGTAGTGAGAGACCTTACAGATAATTGTATGTGTGGGGTACAGCGATGAGGTAGTCAATAACAAATCATGTTAAACACTATTATTGCACACAGAGTGAGTCTACGCAACTTATGTGACTTTTTAAGGAAATGTTTACTCCTGAACGTATTTAGGCTTGCCATAAACGGGTTGAATACTTATTGACTCAAGACATTTCAGCTTTTCATTTGTAAACATAAAACATAAACATAATTCCACTTTGACATTATGGGTTATTGGGTGTGTATGCCAGTGACCGAAAAATCTAAATGTAATCAATTTTAAATTCAGGCTGTAACACAACACAATGTGGAAAAAGTCAAGTGGTGTGAATATTTTCTGAAGGCACTGTAGTTGCCTATGAGGTTGGTGGTGAAGGTAGGACTGTGTTTAGTTAGTTACCTATGAGGGCAGTGGAGAATCGGTTCATGGACAGCGCCTCCAGGTAGAGCGGTCCATCGTATCCGGAGTCCAGCTCACTGCGGACATAATCCCTAAAAACAGGAAGACAAGACAGTCAGAGCTCAGCTCAGCTCTTGCAGTCCCACCTGCTGTCTTCTGTCCTCACTGGTTAAATACAGAACTATGCCTCAGAGAATACAAGAGATACGCACAACCAGGGCCAGTAGAAGACAAACTCGAAATGGTTTCAATCGCAGCACTTAATTGCTTTTAAACAATCTTCCAAATATAGATAGCTCCTAGCTAACAATTTCACATGTCTAGGATTATGTTTGCTGTAGTTCCTGTAGTGTGTGTGTGTGTGTGTGTGTGTGTGTGTGTCTGTCTCTCACCTGGAGACCTGGTGTCCAGCGAAGAGCAGCAGGGCAGTAAGCACGTACAGGTAGAGCTTCACCAGGTGCTGACGAGGCAGAGTCAGGAGCACCAGGCTGAGGATGTAACCTGAGAGACACAGCAGAGCAGAGAGACGGAGAGATGTAGTCAGGACAGTGAATCACAGAGGGAAGTAGAGGGGTCTGTACAGTACACTGCCATGAAGTGGAACAATGGACATACATACATAGTGTCTTCAGAAAGTATTCAGACCCCTTGACTTTTTCCACATTGTTACGTTACAGCCTTGGTCTAAAATGTTTTCTCCTCCCTCATCAATCTACACACAACACCCCATAATGGCAAAGCAAAAAGGTTTTTAGAAATTTTTGCAAATGTATTAAAAATAAAAAACGGAAATATCACATTTACATAAGTATTCAGACCCTTTGCGCAGTACTTTGTTGAAGCACCTTTGGCAGCGATTACAGCATTGAGTCTTCTTGGGTATGACGCCACAAGCTTGGCACACCTGTATTTGGGGAGTTTCTCCCATTCTTCTCTGCAGATCCTCTCAAGCGGTCAGGTTGGATGGTGAGCGTCGCTGCACAGCTATCTTCAGGTCTCTCCAGAGATGTTCGATCGGGTTCAAGTCCGGGCTCTGGCTGGGCCACTCAAGGACATTCAGAGACTTGTCCCGAAGCCACTCCTGCGTTGTCTTGGCTGTGTGCTTAGGGTCATTGTCCTGTTGGAAGGTGAACCTTCGCCCGCACTCTGAGGTCCTGAGCGCTCTGGAGCAGGTTTTCATCAAGGATCTCTCTGTACTTTGCTCTGTTCATCTTTGCCTAGATCCTAACTAGTCTCCCAGTCCCTGCCGCTGAAAAACATCCCCACAGCATGATGCTGCCACCACCATTCTTCACCGTATGGATGGTGCCAGGTTTCCTCCTGACGTGACGCTTGGCATTCAGGCCAAAGAGTTAAATCTTGGTTTCATCAGACCAGAGAATCTTGTTTCTCATGGTCTGAGAGTCCTTTAGGTGCCTTTTGGCAAACTCCAAGCGGGCTGTCATGTGCCTTTAACTGAGGAGTGGCTTCCGTCTGGCCACTCTACCATAAAGGCCGGATTGGTGGAGTGCTGCAGAGATGGTTGTCCTTCTGGAAGGTTCTCGCATCTCCACAGAGGAACTGTAGAGCTCTGTTAGAGTGAAGATCGGGTTCTTGGTCACCTCCCTGACCAAGGCCCTTCTCCCCGATTGCTCAGTTTGGCCGGGCGGCCAGCTCTAGGAAGAGTCTTGGTGGTTCCAAACTTCTTCCCATTTAAGAATGATGGAGGCCACAGTGTTCTTAGGGAACTTCAATGCTGCAAGAATTCCCCAGATCTGTGCCTCGACACAATCCTGTCTCGGAGCTCTACGGACAATTCCTTTGACCTCATGGCTTGATTTATGCTCTGACATGCAATGTCAACTGCGGGACCTTGTATAGACAGGTGTGTGCCTTTCCAAATCATGTCCAATCAATTGAATTTACCACAGGTGGACTCCAATCAAGTTGTAGAAACATCTCAAGGATGATCAATGGAAACAGGATGCACCTGAGCTCAATTTTTAGTTTCATAGCAAAGGGTCTGAAAACTTATGTAAATTTCTACAAACATTTCTACAAACCTGTTTTCGCTTTGTCATTATGGGGTATTGTGTGTAGATTGCTGAGGAAAATGTTTTATTGAATCAATTTTAAAATAAGGCTGTAACGTAACAAAATGTGGAAAAAGGGGTGTGAATCCTTTCCAAAGGCACTGTATATGCATACATACACACAAGGCTGTTTTTAAAAAGGGACAAAAAGATCCGCCTGTTTCTGCTGTTGTCTGTCTCAAACACATTTAGGAATAGATTTTTAACACAGTCCCACTACTGTCTTAATGGCATTCACTTCACAAATAATCTTGTAACTGTTATTCCAATCATCTCAGTACAGACAGAGTTACAGAGACAGAGTTACAGTGGACAGTGAAACCAATAATCCTGCCCTCCCTCAACCATCTTGGTTGAGCGCGGCCTGCCTGGTGTAGTGGAGTCAGCAGAAAACATTCCTAGTGAGAATCTCAATTGCATACTCCTTGTGTCCTCTCCTTGCCTCCATCTCAAAACACATTGAAAGAAAAAGTCAGAGGACCCTCCCTGACCTTCTCCTCCAATGGGTTTTGAGAGGACACAAGGAGTACGTAATTGAGATTCTCAATGGCCGACCTGGACCCAGCATGCAATAGATCCACCCAGCCAATACATCCTGGGGATTCCATTAGCAGACAGCTAACACGCCCACTCCTCTAAAGCCCTCTCCACCATATTGCGCACGGTGTGCGTGACAAACACGGAACTAAATTGATCAAACATTCATTAAAAGGGCAGGGAGCATGACAACAACAGTGGGAGATAGGAGGCTAGTTAGCCATTGAGGCTTGAAAGAGTGGTCGGTGGACTGAATCATTCTGGCATGACAACAACTAGACTGAGACAGATACTGATATGATTCTACCTCCTATGAAAATGATTATGATCCTCTCAGTCTAAGCGCCACGGGCCCTGAATGGAGTCAGTGTTCCCAGCCAGTGGAGTGTGTGAGTGGCCTGGTCATTCAGGGTGATCCAGCCTCACTGTGACAGGCAGCCAAGGTGACGGGGACAGGAGATTAGAGCTTTGTGTGTGTGTTTTACACTCCCTCCCGCCTCAGACTGCCACCACCGGATGCTGCTCATGTAATCCTGAGAGGAGGAGATGAAGCTATATTCTGCAAGCCGGCCAGCCCGTCAAGTCACTGCTGTCAATAGGCTTATCTATGTGCCTCTTGCCTGTTCTGGATGCTCAGTAACAACCATCACAAAGCAGAAAACAGAGAGACACGTGGTTGTACGACAAGAGGAAGCACTGCTGACGAAATTCCTTGAACATAACCATAACCAAATAAAACCTTAATTGAAAGAAGAAGTCCATTCCATATCTTAAGAGTACAAGCTCTTACTTTACCGAGCCTGCGTTTGGTTAGTAGCCTAGCACCTTCCTTCAGTGATGAATGAGTCATTATGTTTAACATTGTGTGGGTGCTTTGGTTGGAGAGGCTCCTGCTCTTGGCTCGCAGTTGCATACTCAGAACCCACGCCTCCGAGGGAGGGAGGCTACGACCAGTCCGGAACACAGCCTTAGACCGCTCAGTCATCCTCACCTTGTGTGTGCTGCGTTGGTACAAGCCAAAAATCTTAACAGGACCTGAATACAAGAGTACAGAGGCCCAGTTTCCCCAACTCACAGGTTCCTATCCCCACCTGACAGACTCAGTCCCACGCTCCCCAGCCACTCTCCCAGACAGGCTCACTGCTGAGGGGACATTAAGCCCTGTGTGCAGATAGAGCAAATAATGAACTGTGACTATCCTGTGCCTGAGGCAAACTATTTCACATAAAACTAATATAGCTGTCCTGGTGATATTGGCCTAGCTAGGCTTACTGACTAATGAGTCCATACATAGGAGAGGGATTGGACTGAGAGTATCTGTATTGTGCACATAGAAAAGCTTTCCAGTCATGGTCAGGTGTAACAATGTGTCTTATTAACAGAGCACATCCTGTTCCTTGGCCTGCATAAGGTAAGCAAACACAACACAGATGAGCAGAATTTGTTGAACAGCAGAGACAGCAATAAAACAGAGCCGTTAATCCACAGTCATGGATCCAGAGCCATTTGCTATGCAAAGTAATGCAGAAAGGACAAAGAGCGGACCGATGTGAAATAATTATCAGTGCTGGCAGTAAAAACACACTGTCCATAAGCAAAATAGTTACTGATAGGCTAAAGCAAGTGCCAAAGGTGCCAACATTAAAGATTAGAGAACATTCTCTTTCCAAGAGAGACATCAGCAGCACACACACTGAGGTTCAGTCCAGGCAACTGTTCTCTGCTGCCCAGTGTGTTCGTCAGCAAATACCAGCCTCATTGTCTCACCCACCAACTTCAGCCAAGTATGCAAAGCCACTAAAAGTACCCCTGGTGAGGTCATAGAAAGTGGGTACACAAACACAGTTATCAAAAACCACAGTTAAATTAAAAAAGAATGAGACCACTGCACAGTAATTCCCATTGATGATTAGCATACAGTGCATTCGGAAAAGTATTCAGACACCTTGACTTTTCCCACATTTTGTTACGTTACAGCCTTATTCTAAAATGTATTAAATAAAACAATTTCCTCAATCTACACACAATACCCCATAATAAAAAAAGCAAAAACTGGTTTTTAGACATGTTTGAAAATGTATTAAATCTAAAAAACTGAAATGCTTCCTTACATAAGTATTCAGACCCTTTGCTATGAGACTCGAAATTGAGCTCAGGTGCATCCTGTTTCCATTGATCATCCTTGAGATGTTTCTACAACTTGATTGGAGTCCAACAGTTTTTTAGAATTTATTGCAAATTAAAATTAAAAATTAAATAGAAATATCACATATTCAGACCCTTTACTCCAGGGGTGTCAAACTCATTTTAGCTCAGGGGCCACATGGAGGAAAATCTATTCCCAAGTGGGCCGAACCGGAAAAATCATGGTATATATAACTTAAAAACAACAACTTCAGATTGTTTTCTTTGTTTTAATACGATCAACATAAAGCTGGAGCCTGAGGACAGTGTGTCCAAAATAGTACAAGCACAACATCACTATTAATCATAAAACATGTCAAGTTTATTTGAAAATTCTAAAGAAAAAGAACACAAACACACAATGCCTCAGTGATTAACAGAACTGTTTCACAGATCACAGAACTATATCAGGGTGTCATTTCTCAGGCAGAAATGTAGATAAAAATAATGAAATCTTGTTCCCCAAACAAGTGCAAGAACCACAGAGTCAAGAATAGGTTAAATATACAAATAAAATAAAAGCAATTAAAAACAATAGCACATCAACATAAAAACATAAAGCTGGAGCCTGAGGACAGTGTCCAAAAGCACAACATCACTATTAATCATAAAACACCTCAAGTTATTTGAAAGTTCTGAGGACAAACAACACACAAACACACAATGCCTCAGTGATTCACAGAAGTATATCACAGATCACAGAACTATATCAGGGTGTCATTTCTCAGGCAGAAATGTAGATACAAATAATGAAATCATGTTCCCCAAACAAGTGCAAGAACCACAGAGTCAAGAATAGGTTAAATATACAAATAAAATAAAATCAATTAAAAACAATAGCACATCAACATAAAAACATATAAACATAAATCTGAAAGCGTTGCTCAAACTCCCGTAACAGTCCCGTTATTTTATCTTTGAACCGCTTCATGTCTGCCACATGTTTGGTCGTGCACAAATTTTTCAGACAGGGGAAGTGAGCTGCATCACCACCGGCAAGTTGCGTCTCCCACAATGACAGCTTCAACTTGAAAGAACGTATGCTGTCATAATACTGCGTGTTCAAGTTATTCAGGTGCTCTATAACATCCACCATAAATGCAAGGTCCTGCTTCCATTCTGCGGAATGAAATTCTAACACTGGTTTGCCCTTTTCTTCCATGAACTGTTCAATTTCTTCTCGGAAATCAAAGAAACGCCTCAGCACAGCACCTCGGCTTAACCATCTTACCTCAGTGTGGTATGGCAGGCCATAGATGTGGTCTTTCTCTCTGAGAAGGCTGTCAAACTGACGGTGATTCAGGCTTCTGGATCGGATGAAATTAACAGTTTGGATGACCACCTTCATGACGTTATCCATCTTTAATGACTTGCAACACAAAGCCTCCTGGTGCAAAATACAGTGAAAAGTCAAAAAATCACGTCCTCCATTTGCAGATTGCACTTTCTCACAACGCCTGCTTTTTTCCCGATCACTGAGGGCGCACCATCTGTAGCCAGGCTGACAGCGCGGGACCAGTCCACTCCGACCCTGTCCAGCGCGCCAACGAGTGCGGTAAAAATATCAGCTGCTGTCGTTGTATCTGTCATCGCCACCAACTCCACGAACTCCTCGGTGACGGTCAATGTGTCATCAACTCCGCGGATGAAAATGGCCAGTTGTGCAACATCTGTAATGTCCGTGCTTTCATCAATTGCAACCGAAAACGCAATAAATGACTTTACTTTTTGCTTCAACTGGCTGTCCAAATCCACTGAAAGATCGGAAATCCTGTCTGCAACTGTGTTTCTTGTCAGGCTGATATTTGCAAAAGCCTGCCGCTTTTCAGGGCACACAATCTCCACTGCCTTCATCATGCATGATTTTACAAATTCACCCTCACTAAATGGTTTTGAAGCCACTGCGATTTCATTAGCAATGAGGTAGCTAGCTTTCACTGCAGCGTCACTGATGTCTCGGCTGTGAGTAAACACAGACTGCTGTTTCTTCAGACCCGCCAACAGTTCATTCAACTTCTCTCATCTCCGCTGTCCTTGAAAGTTGTCATATTTGTCGGCATGAAGACTCACATAGTGGCGACGAAGGTTATATTCTTTCAGCACTGCAACATGCTCTGAACACACCAAACATACAGCTTTCCCCTTCAATTCCGTGAATAAATAGGATGACCATTTTTCTTGGAACACTCTGCGTCCACTTTTCTCTTTTTTGACAGAGACATATTGGGGCAATGAGGGTGCCAAAGCACATAATGTTACAAGTAGAAGCCGTAATCAATATCGCGGGCAAAACAAAGTAGCTCATTGGCTGCACGTGCTTGACCTACTTGCTCTGCCCCGGTATAAACAGTTTGCTTGCTTAACACAATTGCTATTGCGCCATTCCAGTGGACGCAATTGGAACAGCAGTTTATTTTATTGAAAAATTGCCGCGCATTTTTATACTTTACAAATATATTTTTATTTTATTTTATTTTCAAAATCATCTCGCAGGCCGGATTAAACCCGTTTGCGGGCCTGATCCGGCCCGCGGGCCGGAAGTTTGACACCCCTGCTTTACTCAGTACTTTGCTGAAGCACCTTTGGCAGTGATTACAGCCTCGAGTCTTCTTGGGTATGACGCCACAAGCTTGGCACACCTGTATTTGGGGAGTTTCTCCCATTCTTCTCTGCAGATAATCTCAAGCTCTGTCAGGATGGATGGGGAGCGTTGCAGCACAGCCATTTTCAGGTCTCTCCAGAGATATTCGATCTGGTTTAAGTCCAGGCTCTGGCTGGGCCACTCAAGGACATTCAGAGACTTGCCCCGAAGCCACTCCTGCGTTGTCTTGGCAGTGTGCTTAGGGTCGTTGTCCTGTTGGAAGGTGAACATTCGCCCCAGTCTTAGGTCATGAGCAGGTTTCATTAAGGATCTCTTTGTACTTTGCTCCGTTCATCCTTCCCGCGATCCTGAATAGTCTCCCAGTCCCTGCCGCTGAAAAACATCCCCACAGCATGATGCTGCCACCACTATTTGTCACCATAGGGATGGTGCCAGGTTTCCTCCAGATGTGACACTTGGTAATCAGGCCAAAGAGTTCAATCTTGGTTTCATCAGACCAGAGAATCCTGTTTCTTGTGGTCAGTCTTTAGGTGCCTTTTGGCAAACTCCAAGGGCTGTCATGTGCCTTTTACTGAGGAGTGGCTTCCGTCTGGACTGATTGGTGGAGTGCTGCATAGATGGTTGTCCTTCTGGAAGGTTCTCCCATCTCCACAGAGGAACTCTGGAGGTCTATCAGAGTGACCTTGGGATTCTTGGTCACCCTCTGACCAAGGCCCTTCTCCCCCGATTGGTCAGTTTGGCCAGACGGCCACCTCTAGGAAGATTGGAGTCATTTAAGAATAATGGAGGCCACTGTGTTCTTGGGGACCTTCAATGCTGCAGACATTTTTTGGTACCCTTCCCCAGATCTGTGCCTCGACACGATCCTGTCTCGGAGCTCTACGGACAATTCCTTCGACCTCATGGCTTGGTTTTTGCTCTGACATGCACTGTCAACTGTGGGACCTTATCTAGACAGGTGTGTGCCTTTCCAAATCCTGTCCAATCAATTGAATGTACCACAGGTGGACTCCAATCAAGTTGTAGAAACATCAACGATGATCTACGGAAACATGATACACCTGATCGCAATTTCGAGTCTCATAGCAAAGGGTCTGAATAATTTTTTTATAAATTTGCAAAAATGTCATTGTCATTATGGGGTCTTGTGTGTAGATTGATGAGGACATTTATAATTATTTAATCAATTGTAGAATAAGGCTGTAACATAACAAAATGTGGAAAAGGTCAAGGGGTCTGAATACTTTCCGAAGGCACTGTAAGGTCCCACAGTTGACAGTGCATGTCATTGCGTTTGTCATTATGGGGTATTGTGTGTAGATTGATAAGGGAAAAAAACAATTGAATCTATTTTAGAATAAGGCAGTAATGTAACAAAATGTGGAAAAGGTCAAGGGGTCTGAATACTTTCCTAATGCACTGTATCTAGTGACTACATAATAGTCGAGGCCTGCGAGCTGGTTATCATGGCCTGTGCCTCATCCACTCCTCTCCCGTGGGAAGAGAAAGGCTTCTTTGAGGGGGGGGGGGGGGGGGGGGGATGACATCCTTCTCCTACTCCCTGCACGGGCCAGGCCTACACACACACAGAGCACATTGTGCTAGCCCATCACACAGTGAGGAGACAGCCTTTAGCCTGCCTAAACAAGTGTCACAGTAACCAACCCTGCTGGCTGCTTTTCCCGCACAGCTCACACTGTTCGTCTGTCTGTCCACTACACAATTACCCACCAGATAACATGACCCTGCATGCCTAGTAAAGTACACAAAACAGTATCCAATTCATGCATGGTATTGGTTAAAGGAAAGATTCACCCATTTTGAATGATATATTGTCCTTGTGCATCTCGTTGCGATGGGTGAATGCATTCAAAATGGGTGAATCTTTCCTTTAACTCTTCTGTGAACACTTCAAGGTTAATTATACCAACTGGAAAGCCCTGAGATGCTGGGACGAAAATTACTTATTTTACCTTGAGCATCACGGAAAGTCCCATTAAAATACTTGGGTCTCGGATGGTGGAAAAAAGCAGAGGTAAATGACAAAGGAGAGGAAAATGTGTCTGAGCCAATGTTTCACCATGATTACAAAGTTTTAAAAAGTGTTGGCCTGCGGGCAGACCGTTGCAGCAGCAGATGTCTAAGGTCAGGCCATGCCATGTTTTAATTATGGCATCGTCTCACTGTTTAATTATCATCTAATGACCTCATGCCATTCTATTCTGGTCTGAAACACAAGCATCAGCCAATACCCTACCTCCACTGAGCTCTTAGTGGGCCAGGCCCACTCTCAAGCAGAACATACATACTGGATCAGAAGTACTGCCTGTGTCCATGTTAATGTGCCATTCTAAAAACAAAACGTAGCAGAAGCATGTTCACCCTTATAACTCGCAGAGAGGAAATGCTGACAACATGGATCATGGACATTTACAGTCATGATGCAAACGCTGACTACAAACAATGTCAGACTTTATCCTTTGTGTCATTGCTTTTATCATGTCTTAGCTATGCCTATGACAAACCTAAAAACATTTAAATGCAACACAACACCATTCAAGACTGAGTCGTAGGTTTAAAAATGCTTAGCTGAACTTAAATTATATTAATTTATACCATGGCATTGTTGAATACTCGTTTCTAATTGGCTTGAATGGGCATTCTAGAGCGTGAATTATTTACCTATAATGCACTGTTTAATTCAATGACTATGACGTTCATTCTTACATGTTCTATGTTTGAGCTGCTTCTGAAAGCAAAAGTTAAATCGAAAACATTATTGGCTCTGTTGAATTCGATTTTCATAGTAAGTTAGGACTGATGGTTTGGTTAGCTAAGCTAGCAAGTCTGTTTGGTTACCAAGACAGCTACTGTAGCCATCTAGTAAAAGTGTTAGCTACTTCAGTGGATGTTAAAACACATTTCTACAGGCAAAATGAACACATTTCAAATTATAGCTATGGTATAAGTGGGATAATCAACTCTGGGCTCTAAGCGTTCTCTGGAAAATAATGCAACTCCGTGAAAGGTTAATGCCACGAAAGCATAGTCGATCGTTGATTATCCCTTACGCATTCCATAAATTACATTCATATGCATGAGACACAACCATTAAATACTGGGTCCTAGTTTTATAGGCTGCAACTGCAGTGTTTTTCCTGGTCAGGGCACACTAGTGATACTGCAGCAAAACAGCCAAAATAACCTATTGGCTCACACCATTAACAGCTTTTTATGGCCACTCCAAAAAGGAAAGTGCAAACACGACTAATCTGACAATTACAACATCATTAAAGATATATCGGCTATTTACCTGGAGCTAACTCTGCAAATAGCACTGCGGCGTGATTTAAAAAGTCATAGTCAATCGATTAATATTATAAAAATACACTTAGCAAAAATGTTTCTTTAATTTACAATATGTAGAATCTATTAGAATAGAAAGGTTCAGAACTTTTGCGAAACATCACAGTTGAAAAATATATTGCAAATAGAAATCAAAACTGGATGGTGTTCAGAGGTAAATGGGAGGGGTTGAGTGGAGCTGAAGGATGGGACTAAACACAACCAAAAATATAACTATTGTAGACTATACCACATCAGGTAACTGATCCAAGCAGTAGAATCAGATTAAAAAGAAACATAAAAATACACCTTATGGAACAGCGGGGACTGTGAAGCAACACAAACATAGGCACAGACACATGCATACACACACACGATAACATACACACTATACACACACATACACATGGATTTTGTGTTGTAGATATGTGGTAGTGGAGTATGGGCCTGCGGGCACACACTTAGTGTGTTGTGAATTCTGTAATGAATGTATTGTAATGTTTTTAAAATTGTATAACTGCCTTTATTTTGCCGGACCCCAGGAAGAGTAGCTGCTGCCTTGGAAACAGCTAATGGGGATCCATAATAAATACAAATACTGTGTCTGTAAATGTCTATAGTATGTAGAAGAAGCCTAAGAGGTTTGGTGCATTAATTTAATCAAATTAGTGGAGGGATGGAAGGGTTAGGGTAAAACAATAAAGGAAAATATATACAGTACCAGTGAAAAGTTTGGACACACCTACTCATTCAAGGGTTTTACTTTATTTTTACTATTTTCTACATTGTAGAATTAAAAGTGAAGACATCAAAACTATGAAATAATACATATATAATCATGTAGTAACCAAAAAAAGTGTTAAACAAATCAAAATATATTTTAGATTCTTCAAGTAGCCACCCTTTGTCTTGATGACAGCTTTGCACACTCTTGGCATTCTCTCAACCAGCTTGATGAGGTAGTCACCCGGAACGCGTTTCAATTAACAGGTGTACCTTAAAAGTTAATTTGTGGAATTTCTTTCCTTCTTAATTACATTTCAGTCATTTAGCAGACGCTCTTATCCAGCACGACTTACAGGAGCAATTAGGGTTAAGTGCCTTGCTCAAGGGCACAGACAGATATTTTTAACCTAGTCGGCTCGGGGATTAGAACCAACGACCTTTCGGTTACTGGCACAACGCTCTTAACCACTAAGCTACCTTAGTGGTTAAGAGCGTTGTGTTTGAACCAATCAGTTATGTTGTGACATGGTAGCGGTGGTATACAGAAGATAGCCCTATTTGGTAAAAGGCCAAGTCCATATTATGGCAAGAACAGCTCAAATAAGCAAAGAGAAACGACAGTACACCATTACTTTAAGACATGAAGGTCAGTCAATCCGGAAAATTACAAGAACTTTGAAAGTTTCTAAAAGTGCAGTCGCAAAAAACATCAAGCGCTATGATGAAACTGTCTCTCATGAGGACCACCACAGGAAAGGAAGACCCAGAGTTACCTCTGCTGTAGAGGATAAGATCATTAGAGTTACCAGCCTAAGAAATTGCAGCCCAAATAAATGTATCAGAGTTCAAGTAACAGAAATCTCAACATCAACTGTTCAGAGGAGACTGCGTGAAATCAGGCCTTCATGGTCGAATTGCTGCAAAGAAACCACTACTAAAGGACACCAATAAGAAGAAGAGACTTGCTTGGGCCAAGAAACACGAGCAATGGACATTAGACCAGTGGAAATCTGTCCTTTGGTCTGATGAGTCCAAATGTGAGATTATTGATTCCAACCGCCATGTCTTTGTGAGACGCAGAGTAGGTTAACAGATGATCTCCGCATGTGTAGTTCCCACCGTGAAGCATGGAGGAGGAGGTGTGATGGTGTCACTGTCTGTGATTTATTTAGAATTCAATGCACACTTAACCAGCATGGCTACCACAGCATTCTACAGTTATACGCCATCCCATTTGGTTTGCGCTTAGTGGGACTATCATTTGTCTTTCAACAGGACAATGACCCAAAACACACCTACACGCTGTGAAAGGGCTATTTGACCAAGAAGGATGATGGAGTGCTGCATCAGATGATCTCAACCCAAGACTGAAGGAAAAGCAGCCAACAAGTGCTCAGCATATGTGGGAACTCCTTCAAGACTGTTGGAAAAGCATTCCAGGTGAAGATGGTTGAGAGAATGCCAAGAGTGTGCAAAGGTGTCATGAAGACAAAGGGTGGCTATTTGAAGAATCTAAAATCTATTTTGATTTGTTTACACTTTACTTGGTTACTACATGATTCCATATGTATTATTTCATTGTTTTGATGTCTTCACTATTATTCTACAATGTAGAAAATAGTCAAATTAAAGAAAAACCCTGGAACTGTGTATTTATATGGGGGATTGGAAATGATGCAGACAATTACATTAATGGAAGCCACAATCTATCTGCAATAGTAAAGCTGATCTACCCCCCCCCCCCCCCCCCCAAAAAAAAAAAATTATATATGGGCTAATATATAGGCTCATGTAAACTCAGCAAAAAAAGAAATGTCCCTTTTTCAGGACCCTGTCTTTCAAAGATTATTAGTACAAATCCAAATAACTTCACAGATCTTCATTGTAAAGGGTTTAAACACTGTTAACAACCATAAACAATTCATGAACATGCACCTGTGGAACGCTCGTTAAGACAATAACAGCTTACAGACGGTAGGCAATTAAGGTCACAGTTATGAAAACTTAGGACACTAAAGAGGCCTTTCTACTGACTCTGAAAAACACCAAAATAAAAATGCCCAGGGTCCCTGCTCATCTGCGTGAATGTGCCTTAGGCATGCTGCAAGGAGGCATGAGGACTGCAGATGTGGCCAGGGCAATAAATTGCAACGTCCGTACTGTGAGACGCCCAAGACAGCGCTACAGGAAGACAGGACGGACAGCTGATCGTCCTCGCAGTGGCAGACCACGTGTAACAACACCTGCACAGGATCGGTAAATCCAAACATCACACCTGCAGCACAGGTACAGGATGGCAACAACAACTGCCCGAGTTACACCAGGAATGCACAATCCCTCCATCAGTGCTCAGACTGTCTGCAATAGGCTGAGAGAGGCTGGACTGAGTGCTTGTAGTAAGGCAGGTCCTCACCAGACATCACCGGCAACAACGTCACCTATGGGCACAAACCCACCGTCTCTGGACCAGACAGGACTGGCAAAAAGTGCTCTTCACTTTTGTCTCACCAGGGGTGATAGTCGGATTTGCGTTTATCGTCGAAGGAATGAGTGTTACACCGAGGCCTGTACTCTGGAGCGGGATATATTTGGAGGTGGAGGGTCCGTCATGGTCTGGGGCGGTGTGTCACAGCATCATCGGACTGAGCTTGTTGTCATTGCAGGCAATCTCAACGCTGTGCGTTACAGGGAAGACATCCTCCTCCCTCATGTGGTACCCTTCCTGCAGGCTCATCCTGACATGATCCTCCAGCATGACAATGCCACCAGCCATACCGCTCTTTCTGTGCGTGATTTCCTGCAAGACAGGAATGTCAGTGTTCTGCCATGGCCAGCGAAGAGCCCGGATCTCAATACCATTGAGCACATCTGGGACCTGTTGGATCGGAGGGTGATGGCTAGGGCCATTCCCCCCAGAAATGTCCAGGAATTTGCACGTTGCTTGGTGGAAGAGTGGGGTAACATCTCACAGCAAGAACTGGCAAATCTGGTGCAGTCCATGAGGAGGAGATGCACTGCAGTACTTAATGCAGCTGGTGGCCACACCAGATACTGACTGTTACTTTTGATTTTGACCCCCTCTTTGTTCAGGGACACATTATTCAATTTCTGTTAGTCACATGTCTGTGGAACTTGTTCAGTTTATGTCTCAGTTGTTGAATCTTGTTATGTTCATACAAATATTTACACATGTTAAGTTTGCTGAAAATAAACGCAGTTGACAGTGAGAGGACATTTCTTTTTTTGCTTAGTTTATAAAGAAACACCTGCTTCGAAAAATGTATTTTGACGTGTCACAAGTGGATGGGTGCATTTGTCAAAATATGCTGTTTAAGAGTTCAAATTCTATAAATGACCACTCAAAGGGCAGCACTGGAAAGGGGGGGGTACTGACCAACATAGTGCAGGTAGAGAGCCAGGTACTTGTACTGAAAGAGGGGGTTGTTGTTGAGACTGCTTCTCTGGATCTTCTGGAAGAAAGAGCTGACGTCCCAGCGGTAAAGTACCTCCAGCAGCATGATGCTGGGGACCCGCAGACCCACGTTCAGCACCGCCTCCAGCTTGTCCTTCACCGCCATGGCACCGACGCAGCAAGCTACACACTAATATGACTGGACAGGGGGTCGGAAAGATAGGGAGAAGAGAGAGAGGGAGCAAAAAGTGAGTAGTCTGAGGTGCTATAACATGATAGCATGCAGGCTAAGCACCCCCCGCCCCAAAAAAATGGCCAAATATGCATTTTTAAATAAAACTGCAGCAACATGCTGTTTTTACAGCGCTTCATAGGTTAAATCAAATCAGAGTTTATTTGTCACGTGCACAGGACACAGCAGGTGTAAACAGTACAGTGATACGCTTACTTGCAAGCTCTTCCTCAATGTTGCAGTAATTCTGAGTCATAAAATAAATACACGAGAATAAAATACAACAATATACACAATAGAGATGGGGGGAAATCGATACAGTTACATAGTGATATTATTTCTGGACTATATTCTATAGATACTTTGCCCTTTTTCTTTTTTGCTACATAGCGTTAGCTAGCGCTAAATCGGCTGTACCTGAGGCAAAACGCCAGCATTTTCCATCCTGTAGCTTATTCTCCATCTTTTTAAATAGTGAGCCAACATCTTTTAATTTCTATGACTGATCAAAACTCATTTTCTTATGCTCTCTCATCTCTCTGCAGCAGACATATAGTAAGCAATATGTTTGGTTTGGAAAATCAAATTGCAATACATGAAGAATCGTGAGAATCACAATACATATCGTATCGGCACCCAAGTATCGCGATAATATTGTATATTGAGGTCCCTGGCAATTCCCTGTCCTAATATAATATAAAAGGTCAATATCCGTACCAATCAATGAAAGTGATACTGGTTACAGTTGTGTAATCAGGGTTAAAGTGAATGAGCAGTAGAATCATTATAACAAATAGTAGCAGCAGGGCAAGGTCACGTGGTAACGGAGTCACACTTCCACTAAATAAAATGGCCATATAGTTTTTTTTTACAAATCAGGGCCAAGTACCTGTATACATCCAGGTTGAAAATGGCTGATTTGGGCACTGATAAACGCCTAAATTGGAACGCAGTGGCTGCACAGTAATGTGTTGTACATGACGTCAGAGCTCTGGCTCAGAGCTTTACAGCGCTGTTTGGGTTTTGACTGACAGCCGTTTGAACTTGAGCACCACGTCTGACAAGAAGTTGCCCCCATCCCTCCTGCTAATTGGGCAACTTCTGCACTTTTTGTTGTCTGAGTGAGGGAAATGCTGTAAATTAAGAGGACTCTATGTATTTTGAAAGATGAGACGTTGAGGATTATAATAAATACCGTTTTGATGTCATACAAGCAACCAAAACACCCGAGACTTCAAATGTGTACTTCACATTTCCATATCATAAAAACGCATGTCATATACAGTGTCAACGTTTTTGATGTACAGTTACAAGATAACATGGCGTCATACCCTGGGTTGTTCTGAACAGAATGAGCCCCATTTGTCTATTGTGATGAAAATTTGCAGCAGAACACACACCTGAATGAACAAATTACTATCTGTTTCTCTGAATAGCCTTGTGAAAGCCTAACACTAAGACTGTATTTTATAACTTATCTAGTCATGTTGGCAATAGAACAAGCTTTCAAATGATGCCCACATGACCCAGATTGTGATTTATAATGGCCCGTTTTTAGATTGTGTAAATAACAGAAATTGTGTAATGGCGGGGATGCAGGATTGTTAAAAAAAAAAAAACTACAAGTGTGATTGCTCTAGTTCCTCAACGGCACAGCTAGGAGAGTAAAAAAGCACCTTATAGTTGAAGACTCTTCTCTGAGTCATAAAAGTGCATTGAAATGACTTAGGAACTGTGCACACTTTGAAGAGGTGTGTAGCCACTTGGAGACACCAGTTAGTCCTCTCACTCAAACCCTTGTCATTTATTTGACTCATGTTGCACCGACTCCACATTTTCAGGAATATTCTTATGTTATTGAATGTATCAAATGCAGTGAAAAGTACAGTAAATGTAAAATGCACACAAACATTATGATATGACGAAAATGTTGCCTATTTCAGAAGAACATAATAGCATATTCTGAGTCGTCCTTATGTTAGGCTCTGATCTGGCTATGCCATATGGCTGTGGGCTACACTAGTTAATTTAGAAGATAAGATTAATAGTATAGATTTATAGTAAGAAGAATATAATTGAACGTAGCTGAATAATAATTTAAAAAATGATATTTTTTCCTAAATGATTTACATGTGGCTATTTTGTGTTTAGTAGTTAACAGTGATCATTTGAAACAGGTCCTCCAACATGCTTAATTTAGTTATTTATGCAACTTTAGTTGTGATAAAAATCATAGCCTATATGTTTTGATTTCTATTACATTCTAAGGCTGCATGACGCATCACTAATTATGATGCTCTGCTGTTTCTTGCGCAGGCAGCACATACTTCAGTCTCTCATTCACAATTTGACAAGCACTTGATAATATTCTCAACCATCAGACTATTCTCAATTTAATGTGGCCTTTACATATAGCCAACTAATATACAGTTCCTTCAGAAAGTACTCACACTTGACTTTTTCCACATTTTGTTGTGTTACAGCCAGAATTTTAAATGGATTAAATTGAGATTTTGTGTCACTGGCCTACACACAATAACCCATAATGTCAAAGTGGACTGATGCTTTGATTTGACAAATTAATTAAAAATGAAAAGCTGAAATGTCTTAAGTCAAAAAGTATTCAACCCCTTTGTTATGGCAAGCATAAATAAGTTCAGGAGTAAAACTTTGCTTAACAAGTCACATAATAATTTGCATGGACTCCCTGTGTGCAATAATAGTGTTTAACATGATTTTTGATTGACTATCTCATCTCTGTACCCCACATATACAATTCTCTCTAAGGTTCCTCAGTCGAGCAGTGAAATTCAAACAGATTCAACCACACAGACCAGGGAGGTTTTCCAATGCCTTGCAAAGAAGGGCACCTATTGTTAGATGGGTAAAGAAAAATCATAGCAGACATAGAATATCCCTTTGAGTATGGTGAAGTTAATAATTACACTTTGGATGGGGTATCAACAGACCAAGTCACTAAAAAGATATACGCTTCCTTCCTAACTCAGTTGCCAGAGAGGAAGGAAAGTGGTCAGGGATTTCACCATGAGGCCAATGGTGACTTTAAAACAGTTAGAGTTGAATGGCTGTGATAGTCTAAAACTGAAGATGGATCAACAACATTGTAGTTACTCCACAATACTAACCTAATTGACAGAGTGAAAAAAAGCCATTGTGGCCATTAAAACTGTTAACACTCGATTGCATTTAGAATTGTTATTTGTTGCGAAATAGATAAGTTAAAAGAGGTCAATGGAACTCGACCAAAACAATGGAAATGCCATGGAAACGCCTGTGGGAAAGATTCTGTGAGTGAAAGATCCCGAGTCTTCTCGTTGCCCCGCCCCCCTCGGCCTGTTACAATACATCAATCATGACGGATTTTACGAATATTCACTTTGTTAGATCAGATTTGTTGAATGTGCGCCAATCCGGTGTCCAATCCGGTGTCCTTCTATGTTTGCGTTCCATTGACCTCTTTACCGCATCCATGCGCAATGACTAGGCTTATAAAAAGCCCGTTTCACTCCAGTATCAGCTTTCTGAGGCGCTCTCGTGCTGTCTGACAGGTGATAGGCTATTCCACTTCATTTAATTCCACTAAACTATGCAAATTAACCTATAGACCGATAGCATGACCGGTCCAATGTATTTTCGGCAGCTAACCGATTACTGTATAACCATTAACAACCCTATATCATTTGATGCAATATTTCATTATGAAAATACAGATCATCCAAAGAGACGTCCGGTAACAGAGTTACATGGTAAAATATTTGAAACGTGCAAAATAGCATATTGCAATAAAATGATCTATGGATCGGTATTTCTAGGGAAATTTCCTTAATGAAAGATGAAATGTGTGTCATGAGACCATATAATGTAACAAGGGGCTGGATGTCCTATTCACAATGAAGAAAAACAAAAGAGAAGATGTAGTAAAAGTAATTCGCTGACACACAAAAAAAAATACATTGCTACGTTTAATTTATTTTCGTCTCTCACCTTAGGTCTACATTGTGGGCTATTTTCCCAGGAATCCTATGTCTTGGATAAGTTACAATCCAAAATGCTTTGTTGAGCAGGATTAATATGAATAATGATGGAATTGTATCTATTTGCCACAAAGCCAAGCATCCCAACTTGTCCCTGCATCGGCCTGAAATACTGTAAGCATTCATGCCATATTGATGAGTTAGTGAGGTGGTGTATGATCATAGGGCGGCAGGTAGCTTAGTGGGTAAGAGCGTTGTGCCAGTAACCGAAAGGACGCTGGTTCTAATCCCCGAGCCGACTAGGTGAAAAATCTGTCGACGTGCCCTTAAGCAAGGCACTTAACCCTAATTGCTCCTGTAAGTCGCTCTGGATAAGAGCGTCTGCTAAATGACTAAAATGTAAATTATGCTTGCCTTTGCCCTTTCACATGCTCTGTAAAACAGAGTGGTTATATTTGACCTACCATGTGAAAAACATGCTAATAAGTACAATAAAAAAAACGCAATTGTTAATTGTGTAGTTAATCCTGTGAAGAAAACCAAAGGTCCTAACCTCATGTCTCTATCATAATGCATTCAAAAGTTAATGGTGTTTTTACCCTTGTAGGATAGACGGAATTAGGGTGACTGGAGGCCAGAGAAAAAAAGTGGAAAAATATCTGAAAAATTGCATCGCGTCAGCTAGGCTGGATTCTGTGCAAGAATTAAGGCTACTGGCTACCTGACATGCTCACATTCCTGTTGAACTCATCTTTCTTCTCGAATCGCAGGACATAAAACAATATAGCGGTAAGATGGATATCGATTGAGACATTGTATTATTTTCATATTTTAGTATATCCTTTCCATATTCATTCAGAAATTGGTTTCCATGTGTTTGATGCCATTCCATTCGCTTCATTCCAGCCATTATTATGAGCCGTCCACCCCTCAGCCTCC